GGGTTGTCCTAATCATTAGATGTCAGACACAAATTTGTTGTACGAGCTCCCACACGTGGGGCGTAGGCTTGCACCTGGGATTAATGAATAGACAAACATTTATATTTGGAAATTCAAGTGGGTGAGACACTTGGGTCACAAGAAACCAAAAACCAAGCTCTCATGCCATGTTAGACCATCAATTGGAAATGAGTGGTTTGGGTCATCCTACTCATCCCATTAGAGATACAGGCTCTTTTTACAGTTCCAGTGACGCTCATGCACATTCTAGTAGTGTTCTGAAGAAAGAACTAGTCCAAGACTTTGATCTATGTTCAATTTCAGGCAAGGATTTGGTTAATCATTCACTAAACATGAAAATTTTCTAGTGCTTTGATAACATTGGGATCCGCTTGTTATAACCAATGGTTGAACAAGCGATTCTGATTGCTTTAACAACATGAAAATTCATTATTGATTAGTTTGGTCAAGTCTATGAACACGCAACCTTATGCTCCATTTGGAAGGAATGATGAAAAATTAGAAGAATGGAAAAATGTGAAGAATAGATTTTTCATCCTTAGAGGAAGAAAAGCACTTTCTCTCGTTTGTGTTTGGTACGATGGATGGAAAGTTAAAAGAATTAATTTTCTATTGTTTGGTATTGGAGGAAAAGTGGAAGGAAAGAAAATATACATGTATTTAATTTACCATTATACCCTTATATACAAAAATAAAATTTTATTATAAATAAAATTTTTAATATTCAATGTCGCCCTAATTAGTTATAAAAATAAATAAACAAATCTATAATCCTTTAAAAAATATGTATATTTGAAAAACTCTTATTTTCCTCTTTTACCCTTTTTAACATTTCTTAATTATCTAAACTACCATGAGTAAATATATTATAAAGACAATACAATACACTTTTTATTTATTATATTAATATCATTTATGACATAATCCTTGTGTTTTACTTTCTCCATTAAATTATCAATTTATGAAACAAGAAAGATGGAGGGGCACACATTCTAAAAGGTTATCCCTCTTCCTCTATATATAGAAAACAAGAATTTTGATAGACTATATACTAAAGAAAAAAAAGGAAAACACAATATAATTTTAAGGATATAGAATGATTGACGACTGGAAGTGAGTGGTTGACTTCCTGTAGCCATTATATAAGGTTTTGACTTTCCCATCCTAAATTCATTCATCATTCTCTAACCTTTTCATGTTACAGTTCTATTACTCTTCCCCATTTTCATATAGGCTTTGTATTTCTCTTCACGAGTGCTTTTTTGATCTTCAATCAATCTTTTCTTGATTTTTGGATCTAATCTTTGTGGGTCTTATTGAAAGTAGGTTTGTCTTGGTTAATGATAGGCACAACATATAAAGAACTTTGTTAAGACAAATGGGATAAATATAATAACTGCATCAAGGACCAATGTAAAGGTAACTTATTTGACACTGTTGGGCAACAATTTGAAGAATGTGAAGGTTGCTCCATGTCGTTCAAGGATTAAAATGGCGACTATATGCTACGTTCTTATGATCACATTCCTCAGGTTTATCTCAAATCATTCTTTTGAATTCTTGTGGTTTAGTTTTACTCATTAAAATGAGTGCAAGTGATTGAAAATTTTGTACCATGGGGAAGAACATGCTTAAATAATTGATGGATTGTAGTAGTGGATAGAATGAAGTATGTTAACCAACATACCCTCAAATTAAACAAAATCTTGAGATAAGCGTTTTAACTCGTAAAATGAAGATTGATGTTAAGTAGCTATGTTTTTTACTATTGTAGATTTCTATTAATTTTGTTTGTTGATTGCATGTTTCTTATTGAAAACAGAAGGACATTCCAACTTGGGATCTATTAGAAATCTGCTTTTAGTTTTATCCAACGAATGCCATTTTGTTTAAAAAATTAAACCAAGCATGATTTACCAATTTATTATCAATGAAAGACTTGTGCGAGTTGTTTCGACTGTAGTGGGTCTTCTAATGCCAAAAGTAAGAAGTTGTTTTATGACCAATTAGGAGTATCGATACTTCTGCCATGAGTAGGTGATGTGTTCAGGTTTCAAATATTAATGCAATTATTTGTAGCTTAGTAAAATTGTACATCATTTATGTTTGTTCAAATTTTTTGCTAACATTATTGAGGTTTACCAAAGAATGTGTTTTGGGCCACAACAGAATATTTTATTATTGGTATTTAGATGGTATCATTAAATGAATGGGGGTAATACCACACACCCAGGGATGCAACTTAGGCGGGCCAACCCAAATTCAATCCGAGTCCAACTCAAAAAAATCAGGACTTGGGTTAGGATTTTTAATACTTGGATTGGGCTTGGACAAAAAATCTCAACTCGAATTGAATTTGGGCAAACCTTGAGTTGAGGCCTCGGGTTGTTGGGTTCAACCCAAATATTAAAATTGGGTTGAACCCGATTATTAAGTCAGGTTAAACCCAAATATACATAAATATATTCAACTAGGGTTAGTATTTATCTTCATTTTTTAGAGTTCAGACTTTTTCTTCACTTCAACTCTTCACCCCTGCGCCTCCATCACTCTCAGATCCCTCTCTCGCTTGTCATTTTTCCCTCTCTTAGCCTCCCTCTCTCAATCGTCACTTGTTTAAGTCGTTTTAGACTCTCGGCCTCACTCTCTCACTCATCACTCCTCCCTTTTTCACTCGTCACTCCTCCTTCTCTCTTCATCTACATCTTGCCTTTCATCTCAAATCACTTAAAAAAATCACATCTACACTTGAAAAATCAAATCTACATTTCAAAAAATTAACCAAAATTAAATAGCCCAAGTCAACTCAATTTTTAAGCCGAAATCAACCCAAATTAAGTAACCCGAATTCAACCCGAGCCCGCCCAAATTAAAGTCAGGCAGTACTCCGATTGAGTACCTCGGATTGAGGTAAGGTTAGGGTTAGGGTTGAAGATTATATATCTAGGGCTGGACTAGGATTGACCTCTCAATTCGCCCAACCCGCCCGAGTTGCACCCCTACATACACCATAAATAATTGATAAATATTTTCTCTCCCTTAATATGAATCACTCCCAAGTATATTATCAATTGTTCAATAACTAGAGTAACATGATTGTTTATGATCTCCAATTAAGAATTAACAATCTTTTTGCCCATATGCTAGATAAATTTTTAAATAAAAAAAAATTCTATGATTTTTATTTCAGTTTCGAGTTTAAGTGTTACAGACAAAGAAGAAATTGGACATAGCAATGGAGTGATATTACTACTATCTAATTTATTTATTTGTTTATATTTTGACCCAAAAAAACTCTTTTATTTGAATTTTATTGCATGCATCAAGTTAAGCAATGAACTTATGTTTTATTTCATTGGTTTATGATGTATTCATTTAAATGAAACATTCTTTAATTGATTCAAACTTGTGAAGGACATAGTAATTGAGGCTATTATGATGTAATCTCAATCTTTGAACTAACATTACCAATATAACTATAAGTTAAGATTGATCACATGCAACGCACGTGTACACAAACTATTAAATATCGATGTGTATACCAAAAATAATAGCCAAAAAAATACATAAGAAAAATATAAGTAATAGGATATTTAGTAGTATTTCTTGAGAAATATGTAGGTTTTGATTTTAAATTATGGCATAATGTTTAGAAGATATTTAAGGGCAAAAAAAGAGTCAATTTGTTCAAAAAAGTAACTTGCCTTCAATTTTGCTCACTTTCCTCCCACTTTTGGAAGAAAAAAATGGTAGGCTAGAGGGAAACACTTTCCCTCCAATTTTTTTTTTCATCCCATTGTCCTTCTCCCATTTTCCATACACCCAACTTTCCATCAAAACAAACATACTATTAATTTCTAGACAATACAATAAGAAAAAAAACTATAATTTGGAGTGAAACATATGGTCTCAATTTACATTAGTATACCCAATTTTACAACAGCCCAATAATAACTCTTTCACCCTTTTGTTAACATGTCAGAATTGTCAACCTAAAAAAACATGTCAAGATCGGCATATTACCCCAGGAGACTTTTTGGAGTTTGTAAAGTTTAACATCCAATACAAGATACAATATAACTTTTTAAATTAAGAAAGATGCATCAAGCAAGACGATGATATAAACATATTACCAATACCTAGCCCTAACAAAATCATTATACATAAAATGGGGCTTCCAATAATATTATCTAAATGATGATGACCTCTAATAAAGGACATCTTTCATAACTTAGGTGCCTGTACAAGCTGACTATGGTCCCTACTCACACACAACAGCAAGAGGCGAAGGGCTTCAGCTAACTCAATCTTAACAATCATTAGACACAGCTTTTCAGAACCTGATTTTAGGTAGAGAAAGAAACATAAGTTCTCAGATGACGAGGCAACATACTATGACTATATTTTATGAGAGCAACTAAGACGAAACCAATTGACAATGACTGAAATGCCTCTTAAGCATATAAATTAACATTAAGTGGTCCTAATCATTTGATGTGAGATACAAGTCTCTTTACAACCTCCCCATGTGGAACGCCGGCTTGCTCGTGGGGCTAATAAACAAAGAGACAAACATGCATATTGAAAAATTCAAAGGGATAAGAGACTTGGCTCACTGACCAACAAATGCCTAACTTTGATACCATGTTATAGCATTCAACCCAAAATCAATTGGCAATAAGTGGAGACGCCCCTTAAGCATATAAACCAACCTTGTATGGTCCAAATCATTTAATGTGGGATACAAGCTCTCTTTACACATTTCACATGGTTTAGGACTCTAGACTCTGAATATGTCTAAATAGTTGTTGTAGAATCTAATAGGCAACTGTGAAGATATTCTAGCACATAAAAAAGTGGTGAACTACTGCATCTATTGACTTTGAATTGTGATGAATCTAGCAAATAATTTTTCTCAATTTTATAACTAACATTTTGAACTGATTTGTTTATATGAATGAGAAAAATAATAGAATTCATCATCTCGCACCTGGTTTCACATAGTCTGTAATTGCATACTGAGGTTCCCCTTTGGCACCTTCTTCGGTTATAGGTGTGTACATATATACCAAACACGAATCTAAGTCATCTAAAGTCACCTGATATTCCTCATCCTCTGCACCAACAATTACTACTGGGCTGCCATTCCATCTTCTCCTTAACCAACTGGAGAATGTGGAGCAAGAACTCAGGCTACGCTCCATATGAGATACAACGGTCTTTGCAAGAATAACCACAGTTTAAAATCCTAGTATATATGATATACAGCAACCCAAGAACATCTTACCTCGAAACACCTTTCCCAGGGGTCCCGCCACACCACGCAACCTCCACATGGCCCCTAATAATGTTTCCCTCCACTAATTCACCACGCACATCAATCTTCAAAACCTTCGGATATCCAGTTCCTTCATAAGAAATCAGAAGAAGAATCAGCTCACGGGACTCGACACAAAAGGCACACCATATGAAAACTGTGCAAATAAGCGAGCATAAGCATGCAGAAATATTTAAACAGATACAACATGTGAAATTCTTCTTCCCATTCAAATTTGTTAAGCATGGTGTTTAGCAGATTCACCGACTACTAGGTGATGCAATCTATAAGATGCTCAAGGAAACACAAATTCGAAGATGTGAAAGGTAATTGAATTGACTTTTCATCAAGACAAAGATCCATATGAAACCTTGCATTCTTATTTTAAGTCAATTTGCTAGTATTAATATTTTTAGTGTTAGGGGTATTTTTGTAGTTTCTAGAATTTCTAGAATAGGTTATATTTTTTGGTCAAATTCTAGTATTGAATATTCTAGAATTTAAAGTTCTAGTTCTAGTTAATTTTATTTTTCTAATTTGTAAGGACCTAGTGTCTTTGAAGTTCTAAAAACTTTGGAATCCTAATCTTTTGGGATTAGGATTACTTATAACTCTATATATAGTTAATGTTAATTTTAATAATAGATGAAGAGAGATATTCAGAATTTTGAACAAATATATGTTTCTTGAGTTGTGTGATGTAATTCTAATCCTGGATGTGATACCTATGGAACCCTAGGAGTGATTCCTAACCAAAATTACTGTTCACGAGTACTGTTCACAGTTCCTTAACAGTCCCTATTTTTTTATTTTACAAAGTTATCCTACATCAATTTGATATCAGAGCTGAAAAAATCCTATGTTATACAACTTAAATATTGATATATGATGATGGAGATCCAAGATTTTGATGAAAGGGATGATTCTACAAAAATCTCTAGTTGCTTGTTTGTATGGAGAACTATTTTGTTAGGTATAATTTCTTAGAT